TAAAGGGGCGCGTGGCTCTGTTGAGTTCTTAGAACTGCAGCTTGTCCCCACACCCGGCTGCACTGCGCAAACTGCGCTTCTCCATTCATCCTCTCACTCCACCCACTCAGCCTCCGGGCACGCCAGCAAAAGCTGCTGAACTAGTGGTGCCAGTGAACAGTAAGGAGGAAAAGTTCCCTACAAGTGCAAGAAAAAGATCCCTACCTGTTGATTTTCAGAGCAAATGCCCTCCGATCGGAACTGGGCAGAGTAGCCATGTAGCTCTGTGGGGCGGAAACCCTGCCCCGCTTCAAGATCGACGGCGACTGTTCGTTCACTCAAAGGGAGCCGAGCTGTCAATTCGGTGTAGAAACTTCCGCATTTCTCACCTTCCTTGTCGAAAGCAGCCAAAGGGGAGAGCCCAGCTTCTGCAAGGAACCGAGGATGGGCGCAAAGCTCCAGTTGGTCTTGAAGGTGAGCGGCAGCGAGAATCTTTTTGGGGAATGGCACGAGGGGGTAGAGTCCTGGCGCGGCAGTGGGCTGTGCCACTTGGGTTCACTTCTTGGACCGCATTCGCGTACTTTCCAGAGGAGCACCGCAGCGAGAACCTCGGCGGCAGGCGCCGCTTTCCCTGAACTGAAAGGCTCCACGTCTTGGTGGCATATGGCATTTCTTTCCGGGTAGAAGCGCCGGGAACAGCAGCGCTACCAACTCCAACCCCGAATTTTGCCTCGACGCCTAACAGCCCGCGTTGCAGCCGAGTATGAACTTGCAAGAGGAAGACCAGAAACAAGAAGAAGCTAAGGGCATTTCAGAATTGCAGTTCAATAAATGTTTAAATGTCATATTGGAACTTTCTCCATGTGTTAAAGTAGTTTCTAAGCTTCATAAGCACTGCTGGCCGCTACCTTATAAACAGCCCGCGCTGAGATCAAGCCTTCTTCCTGCTTCATTTTTAGCTCCCTTCCCGTCCTACAAAAGTCCAACAACACTCCACCCCATTTAGATTATAAAGTTGTTTGTCTTGTATTTTTATAATAACTTGGAAAGTGAGGGAGTCGAAGTTACCCTGATACTTTTTCAAGCCATTTGCGGACCTGTCAGCTCCTTGCAGCAGCTCCGGGTCTGTAAAAGCCGTTCAGTAGATGTCAGTCTTGCCGCACTTAAATCAAGCGCCGGCGAGTCTTGGCGCTTGAGGCAAACCCCATTTGTGGACGTCGTTCAGCGACGACACCGCCGATCGAGGAGAAGATTCAGGTTTCAGCCAAAGCCGAAGAGGTGGCTTCTTTAGTGACTCGCTGAGATGAGGCTTGAGAAGCGCTTTTGGGAAGCAGCTGCGCCTCGTATTGAACACCAGCGGCTTCAACTTGGCGCCTAGGCCTCGGAGAGAAAGCAAGAACAGCTGCAGAGATGAGCGCCGAAGCAGAGAAGTGCAAACAAATTCATGATAGATTATCAGAGCAAATCTGGACCTGTTGTAAGTAAACCATGCACTTCGTCTGGCACGGGATCTGGGAGAAGTTAAGAATCGAGAAACAAAAATGGGCAAGGAGCATGACATTTGATTAGGCTCCATTTTAGTACAATATAAAAGAAAGGGGGCAAATAAAAGAAGTCCAAAATATCTCATAGATACTTTTCTTTCGCGTACCTCAGGGAGAAAAGCAGGAAGAACAGATTATCTGCACCTTCCCTGTTGTCCCAGCACTGACAATACCCATGTGTCACTGCCCTCTCTGGTTGCGGTGGGATTTGAAATGATGTAGTATACCTTTAGCCCACTTGATTTCTCACCTTTCACAACTGCTTTGAATAAAGCCCAATGCCCAGTGAATAAAGATAAATAAAAGTACTAATGTGTTCATCCTTGCCCTGTCTGAATAGAAAATTATATTTAATCTAAAGTGCCATCTAGTGGGTTCATAAATAATCACAGGAGTTTGATCAGTATCAGTCAAGATCACGTCATGCTTTCAAGACTATAACACTGTCCTCTAAAAAGGGGGGAACATTTACTTTGGGCTGGGCAGAAGTAGGTCAAAACCTACAGATAGATGCTCACACAAAGTGCAGGAGATTAGGAAGGGCTCCAACTACTGGTCACTCCCACAACAGAGACAATAAAAGGCCTTTACCCTCGCCTGAAATCATGCTGCTGCAAGGAAGAAAGCTTGGAGGGAAGGGAAAAGGAAAGGATGATAATTGTGTGGAAGGGCAGTAGTGCCACTTTAGCTGGATCACAGAATTGAGTCCCAAGTCCCCACAGTGGAAGAGATCCTGACATTCGCAGGTTTGTTTTGACTTGTTCCGCCACTGTCTCCCAAGTGGTATATTTATTATTTCCCATAATAAATCAAAATACATGCATATGTCAATATGATTACGGTGTTCACTTGTTGCAAAATAACAGTTACTCCTTGTGGCACTTAACAGCACCTAGCAGTGCACAGAATTAAGTACACGGTACCTGTGTTCCTGTTGCCGGGGGCAGGGGACAGAGTGTTCTTCCCTCTGTGCTCCCAGAGAGGGTTCAAGCTGAACGTTCTTTCTGGCAGGCAGTGGAGGTGGGAGAAGCAAACTCCCTCCTGGTTCTTTCTGTGTCATGAAAAGTTTCTTGATAGGGAGTACTCTGCAGGAGAACTTCATAAGTTTCCCGTGAACATTCATTTCCTAATAGGAAAGCATCTCTTATTCACACTTTACTGTGATCCTTGGAGTTAATAATTGTACACACCCCAACTTTTCTGTCATTTAGTGCTCTATGAAACAATTGAGTTTGGTGCACCTGAATCTGGAAGAAATAGACTGAAGGCAAGTGGAACCTACAACTTGTTGTCTCATGGGCTGGGGGGGGGGCAGGATTCTACCTCCAATCCATTCTCCTCCACCACTCCCAGTGCTAGCCAGCATTGATGGCTGCTGGGAAACATCATTATCCAGACTTCTGCTTAGATGTCCCTCCCAATATTAATATATTACCTGAAGGTCCCCTGAAACCTGTTGATTCTGCCTTCTTGAGTGGAGCTGCTGCTCAGAAGTCATAAGCAATGGCAGCTGCAAAAAACCATCTGAAAAAAAACTATTCTGGGCTCCATGTGGGTATTTTTTTTCTACTGTTCTCTGGAATCAGAGCAACTAATTTCAAAGTAATCCCACTATGAACTGAATTTTTAAAACTTTATCAAATTTATATGCTGCCCATCTCACTGTAAAAGTGACTCTAGGCGGCTTACAAGTTGAAAAAATTACTTATACAATAATTTAAGAACCGAATTTAAGACTGTTTTAGTGTTTTACATTTCTCCAGTATGCTAGACAGTAGGGGAGAGCCCAAACTCACTCACTGGTTTCCTTCCTTTTTTATAATATATGCATGGCAGATGGTCACCCTTTTTTGTTCCATAAAGAAATGAGGAACATAGAAGAAAACATTTGCATGCAGTAAAGGTGTAAAAACTTTTTTTTTTTTAAGTTTCTGCTGCTAGAATATAGTTTGATCATGTTGGTAAAGGAACACTGACAGTGTAATTCTATAAATCTGTCATTTCTAATTTGAACTTGATACATTTTTTTGGCTTCTGCCTACACATTTTTGAATAGTAGTAATGCTTTTCTGTGGGAATATATATGTAATTGCCATGATTTGTTGTTAAGATAGCTTCTCATCTGGAACAGGAATGGAGCACAACTCATATGAATACATGAGAAACAACTCTAATGTGAATTGGAAAGTTGTAACTCTACACAATCTTTGTTCTTTCCACATATCAGCAAATAAACCACCTTTTCGACCTGAATGTCCCATTGTGAGTGCTTTTACAATATGACAGAACCACATGGAAAAGAAAAAGGCAATTTACCTAAGCACGCCTTTTGAAATAATAGTGTTAAGAGCAGTCTGCACTTCTGTGATTGAATTATTTTCCTTTTCTTTGTAAAGAAATAAAATTTTCTGTACTTTGAAACAAATGTAAGGCCAACAATTTGATGATGGCATGCAGGTGTCCAGTAAAACTGAATGAACATGGCAATTCTACAGTAAAACAGCTAATGAAACATTTTTGAAAAAAGAATTATCAGTCTTAGATAAAGATCCGTGAAAATTGCAATCAAGCATGATATAACATATTATGAGAAACAGCATTAATTCATTGTGGAAGAAAAATTTAGAGAAGTACAAGCATAGGGTTAATGAAGCATATGATGGCCAATAAAGCTTGAGTTAAACAATATAGTAGGGTAGAGCTTTTGGCTTCCAAAGTACAAAATGAAGTAATGTTTCTTTTATCTTCACTTTGCTGTAAATCAGTTTCCCAAGGTGCAGAATTGTTAAATTGGTTTCAGCACAATCAAGCAATCTGGAACATCTTAAAGACAGATGCAAGCTTAAGCCATAATTGCTGTTGTTTTAAGATGTTCTCTTATTGCTAAATCATCATCTGATGTTTTGGAATCTAGAAGGCGTGGTGTTGCTGTCAGGACATAACTTTTCCATGGCTTAACAGATGTGCACAATAAGGTAAATGTATTATTGATCAATTTATTATAATCCACTCTATTGCACTGTTGCAGAAGGCACAGAGAAATACCTATTACTGAGTAGAGATACAACAACTTCGCTTTAGTTATCATAGTGTAAGCTTTTGAGCAGCTCGGGCGGGGAGGTTGGTCTTGAAAGTCATTCTCCCGTCTACTCTGTTTTGTTGCCTTACATAGCAGTGGACCCGTAGAATTTAGAAAGCGTTCTTGCAATTCCTCAAACCAGAAAGGCACCGATCCTGGAAACGGAAGCGGTTCCCTTAAGCCCAAGCGGTTGAAAAAAACCACACCCAACCCCCGACTCCAGACACAGCGGCTTTCAACTCATTGTGATGTTTCCAACGACGCAACGGTGCATTTGAGAAAAAAATCTGGTTGAATGCAGGAAGGGAGGAGAAATACCTGTCACGGTGACAGGCTGCAACCACCAGCGAAAGAAGCAAAGGTGCGCATGCGTACTTGGGGTAGGAACTTGTCAGATGAGAGGAGGAGTTACAACAGCGTGAACAAAAGCACCAGCGGTAAGCGGAAGTAGAAGGGGAGAGGGGAGGAGGGTGTTGGAGAAGAAATTTGTGGGTTGGGGGATTTTAGGAATGCGTTAGTTGGCTTGCTTAGTTCACCATAACACGAGTATTATCGAGTATATCTTTGGTCTGCATAGAAGCGCGATAGGGTTTAATGGTTTTTCTAGGTCCGCGCGGTGCTTTAGTAATATTTCTTCAGTTTCCCACGAAACAATCCTGTTTGGTCCATCAGAAAGTCTCTCGCTGAAAGGAAAACGGGGTGAGGGAGTCCCCTGTTTTCTGCAGCCGCTGACATTCTTACTGAAAATCCACAAAATGACCTGGCTACATCTTTCCTTGAAAAGAGACCTTGCCGAGTTCATGCCTCTTACAGAGCTATCAATGATGGACCGCATTTGACCTTCGGGCCTCCTTATGTGGTTGTCATTACTTGAACAGCAGCCACTAACATGTGCCTGCCTCATTCTCCGGGATGAAAGAGGGAGAAGCCCAGTGATGCTCCTGTTGGAAGTTCATGGAAAGGAAAAGCAGGATGCTGAACACTGTAGCTACTTCTGATGTGTTGTTCTCTCCTCCTCCCCCCTCCATCCCTCTGAGTCCCTGTGTTTAATATTTTACTTAAATGTAGACCTGACACTTTCCACATAATATTTCATCTATAGGTTGACAGGTGAGAGATGGAAAGTTCATCTGTGGATGAAGAAGAGGATTGCCCTGAATTGATTCCCATAAGGGAACCAGCAATAAAGGACAATGGAGGAGAATACATTCAATCTAGCAACAGTGTTAAGATTCCTGTTACTATTATCTCAGGATATTTAGGTAATAAACAGTAGACTGCATTCTGATTTGTCGCAGCTCTTGGTTTTTATGAAGAATAACTTTACTTGAACTTTTTTTTTGTCACAATAAATTGATAGCAATTTTGGGAGGGGATCTTGTGGTCACACGGACAAGTTTGCATACCTGCAGGTGCCATCTACCCTGGATGGTAGAATATATAAAGCAGGATTTACAGAATAATTTGGGAGTTAAACTGAGGTCTATTAGAAATAGTCCTTCTGTGAGCTTATTTCTTGATAAGATGTGATGACAGAGCAAGCATATCCCAGCTGTCAAAGCATCATGTTTGCCTCTGGACACAAAAGAATGAATGATTTCACTGTTTAGCTCAGACCTAGTATTTGCATAGTAGACTTCACATATTTATTTGAAATATTCAGGTAAGAAGGCTTACAAGATGCTCCCACATTCTAAAACATTACAATATAGCTAGTCCCATCCTTGAGGACTCCTCAAGGGCTGGCTAGTGGAAAGTGTTGATTGGCAGCTGATCTTCATTAGAGTAGCATCTTGAAAGCCTAAGACACTGAGATGGCCACAGTAACAACCCCTCTTCTGCCTTCCCTTCACCATGGTTACAGTGGCTACAGTAGCTCCTGGCAGGGGCCCATGGTCCGATTGCTTTGGCCAAGTTCAGATTCAACAGCTTAAGTCTAGAATCTTTAGGCTGGATTTACATTACGCCAGTGTTGTCCAAACTTGGCCACTTTAAGATGAGTGGACTTCAACTCCCAGAA